GTATAATATAAAGTGCCATGAGGCAATTGTTGTTGTGACTTGGTACTATATGAGTAAAATTGAATTGAATTAAATATAATTGAATAGTGTAATAAAAGTTATCACTTGTGTGTTCAATACTAAATAAATAAGTATAGAAATTATACAATTCAGCGTGGAAAATCTCTACTCTGTATTTATAATTAATGACTCTGTATTCTGTGTATTCAGCCAACCTGATGCTCTGTGTATGCATGTTTGTATTTATATTCATTAATTTATGTTACAGTTAATCAGTTATCAAGATTTTTCATGCAAGTATTTATTTTCATTTGTCAGTTTGACGTTCGCACATTATTGTTCAAATACAAATATAACACGTTAACAAAATTTAGGGAGACATGACTGTGGAGTGGGGTTGCTGCATTATATAACCAGCACAGAACATACAAACACATAAAGAGTCGACAGAGGAGAGGCACAAAGAGAGAAAACTAAAAAAACAAAAAACAAATAAGGCTGGTGTTCTTTTTTAAATCATTACAATCTGCTTAGTCTTAACTTTAAACATTTCACGGATGACTGACATATGCAGAAAAAAACTTGATACTGTTTTTGTTGATTTAATAGTTTTCCAACTCATCCAGTGCTGAAACTTGACAACCAGGACAGATTTTATGTATAAAGTCAAAATCATCAGTTGACTAATGACATGATGAGAACATACAAACTCCACACAGAAAGTTTCCAGTGGATTTGAACCCAGAACCTTCTTGTCTGTTATGGCGTCAACCACAGAACTACAGATGAGCTGATCTTATTTTTAACTGCTTTGTAGTGTCAGGCTGTTTCCTGATTGGTCTCTTGGATGCTTCCTGTCTGTATCTCTCAATGCAGGCCTTGTAAGAGATTCTGATTGTTCTGCATTGAGAGACCCAGGAGGAAGCGAAGGAACAAATCCAGGTGTCCATTTGGACTCTGTAAGGCCTTGTCCACAGCACTCTGGTAGAAGTGTTTTGCCAAAGGCTCTTTGGTCTGTATTGAGGCTGTTTGCTCTTCTTCCAGCACGTTGACACCTGAGTTGGTGAAGGTCAGATGGACATGAAGAGCCGCCAGAAACTCCTGAACACTCGGTTGGATAAAGCAGAACACCGTCTCTTGGTACAGCCCTCTCTCTTCTTTAAGGATCTGTGTGAACACTCCTGAGTACACTGAGGCCTCTCTGACATTAATGTCACACTCTGTCAGGTCTGATTCATAGAAGATCTGGTTTCCCTTCTGCAGCTGCTCAAACGCCAGTTTCCCCAGTTCTTTAATCATCTTCTTACTCTTTGCAGTCCAGTGTGGATCTGTCCTTTCCCCTCCATCATACTTAATATTCTTCACTTTGGTCTGAACAACCAGGAAATGAATGTACATCTCAGTCAGGGTCTTGGGCAATCTCTTTTCCTCGCTGCTTTTTAACAGGTTTTCCAGAACTGTAGCAGTGATCCAGCAGAAGACTGGGATCTGGCACATGATGTGGAGGCTTTCTGATGTCTTTATGTGGGAGAATATGATGTTGGCCTGCTTCTCATCTCTGAATTTCTTTCTGAAGTACTCTTCCTTCTGTGGGTTACTGAACCCTGTGACCTCCGTGAGAGCGTCTAAATATTTGGAGGGGATCTGACCCACTGATGCAGGTCTTGTGGTTATCCACAAGTGAGCAGAAGGAAGCAAATTCCCAGTGATTAAATTCATCAGCAGCACATCTACTGATGTGGACTTTGTAACACGAGTCAGCACCTCAGTGTTGTGGAAGTCCAGAGGAAATCGACACTCATCCAGACCATCAAAGATCAACACAACTTTGAAGTTTTCAAAGTTACAGATTCCTGCTTCTTTGATTTCACTAAAAAAGTGATGAACAAGTCCAACCAAGCTGAACCTTTTATTTTTCAGCAGATTCAGCTCTCTGAATGTGAATGGGAATATCAACTTTATGTCCTGGTTAGCTTTGCCTTCGGCCCAATCCAGAGTGAACTTATGTGTCAGGAATGTTTTCCCGATCCCAGCCACTCCCTTTGTCAGCACTGTTCTGATTGGTTTGTCTCTTGCAGTTGATGTTTTAAACATGTCTTCACATCTGATTGCTGTTTCACCTTTACTGACATTTCTTTCAGTGTGTCTGACCTCATGTTTATTATTGACCTCTCCACTCCTGCCTTCTGTGATGTAGAGCTCGGTGTAGATTTGATTCAGACCGGAGGAGTTTCGTGCTTTAGAAATCCCCTCAAACACAGGCTGCAACTTCTTCTTTAAGTCAGATTTAAGTTTATACCCAAAGTGTGGATGAGGGTTTTCTAATGGAAAGAAAAATAATGAAAATGTTTCAAAAGAAAATATTAGAATTTCTTGAGAATGCATTTATGAAAAGGAATCCTCTTACTGCTCAGCAGACAGGCAGCGAGGTCCTTTTGATTCATTTTATTCAAGAAGTGCACTGTGAGTTTCAGAAATGCTTCCCTCCTGCTCCTTTGCTCCTCATCCTCATTTGGACTTTCTGACAATTCAGAGAATTCTGGATTCAGAGAATTCTTCATCCTTGTTAGCTCATTCTTCACGAAGACAACAATTTCATCCTCCAGCAGCTGAAACAGATCACATCATAAAATGTAAATGCAGAAGAGATCAAATCCGTATTGAACACAATCAGAGTCTGTTGATACAAAAGGTGCTACAGGGACATGATTGTGGAGAGTGGAGGTTGTTTTACAAACCGTAAATATAGAGTCCAGGTCACTGTGATTTTGGTGGCCAGGCTGGAAAATGGGAACATCTGAGGCTTGTTTGACTCTGTGAGAAGAACAATGTTTTTTACTATTATTCAGTACACACAAAAAGATAAGAAACAGGAAAGTTAGGTGCTTTTTTCCCCCTTTTTTTGTTGTTTGATTAACATCTCAATACAAAAACTACTATGTAGTAAAATTCTCAATGTGAACCTATTATGTCCATTTCTAAATCTTTTGTAAAAGAAAAAGGGTTTAATGGCACGCATAGATACTGCAGCTCTCTGCAGGTGCTTTGTTTACTGTGCCATGTATATGTATGCGTGTGGTTGTTTGCTTTCAACTACTGCTGTGTGTTGGGTGAGTCGACTTATACTCATCAGGATTATCTGAGCTTGGGAATAAGCTTTGAAAGGACTGTAGACAGCTGTACTGGCATCATGGTAACGGTTGTTACCATGCTATGTTATGCTAAAGCTATCATAGCCATGGATAAACTGCTTAGAGCAGTTAGTAGCCAGCATGACTAACCCTGACGTGCTGCACATCATAGCTGAGTATTTCAACCAGGTTGTGCAACAAGGGGTGTAAATGTTGTTTACACTGCTCACTGAACAAAGATAATAGCAACAACCATAGAGGAAATAGAGCACGTCTTTAGCACATTTGGGTCGTTGTCTGTCAGGTGATATGTTCAGTGACAGTGTAAAGATTGAGGGCAGTGAACCCCAAAAAGGCAGCCGGACCAGACGTAGTGACCAGGAGGTTCCTCAGAGAGTTCAGATCAGCTGTCCAAGGCCTTAACAGAGATCTTAAAGGCATTGCAGTCCCAGTCCTTCATCCCACTATGCCTGAAGTCAGCCACAATCATCCAGCTGCCCAAAAAGACCACCATCAGCAGCCTCAACTACTACCCAGCAGTCGCTCTGACACCTTTTACAATGATGTGTTTTGAGGTACTGATCTGACGCCTGCCTCCCAACGTCTGACCCACTTCAAACTCATACAGAGCCAACAGATCAGCAGAAGATGCCAAGATTACAGCACTCCCCACCACCATCTCCCACTTGAAACAACATAGGTGTTACACTTGGCTGCTCTTTATTGACATTAGCTCCATTTTTAACATCATATTCCTGGACAGAGTGACAGTAAAACTGCTGAATATTAGATTTCATTCACCTCCTGCTCGATCAGAGATTTTTTCTGTGTACAGAGAACCAGACTGGTGCCCATCTTTCCACAGCCCTTAATCTTAATACCAGCTCTTCACAAGGTCGTGTGTAAGTCCTCTACTGCACACAGACAGTAATTTTGAATATCATGTTGTAAGAAGTATAGCTAATGAATGCAGAATTTAATGTGAGGTGTTGCGTGTGATACCTTTCCATGTTGGTCACAGGCTGCAGTCACCTGATCAAAGAGAGAAAATTGTTTAGAATTGTATTTTCTTTATATATTTTCCCAGTTTCTGTCTTTGGTTTGTTACAAAGGCATGTAGGTTACATAATTTTATTATCATGCAAAAGTTAACAGAACTCTATCCTTAAACTGCTCAGTCTTCTCTTTCTCAGTTTTGACTCCCCAAAGAGAACGATTTCAGTCTGTCTGTGCGGAAACTTCCAACAATCACCAAATAAAGAATCATCAAGAGTCCATGAATTTTTAGGAATATTTTTCTCTATTTAAAAGTAATTTAAAACTTACAAATCTTCATCAGTGTTGTGCTTCAGTCTGCAGCTTCACTTTGCAGCATGTGAAGGCTTTATATATGTTTTGACTGCAGGTGCTGACACGCCTTCATGGTTCAGACTGGTTATACTAACAGAGCAGAGTTCAGATGTGTTACATTACAATCCAGTTCCTCATGACTTACTGTTAGCACTGTGTTCTTTTAATGCTTTAAAACTAAAAACAATGAGCTGAATTTCATTCCCCTCATCACTCAGATCAAAAGTTTGAACAACAACTTTTGAAAGTTTCAGGCACATTTAGTCATTTGCTGGTGTGGTCGTTCATCTAGAGGTTGTATTTTACCTCATTTTAAGAAGAGGAACTAGCTATTTTTTGTTATAACAGACTTAAAACAAATGAAAATTCATCATAGCGTCTATAAGTGAGTTAAAGTTTATGTTGTCTTCTTAATCTTTTTTTAAAAGTTGCAATTGTTTTTTTCTTTTTTTTTCTTTTTTTTTATAACAGGATTTTATAGTAATCTTTAGTTTGCATGGTGAAGAAAATGTGTGGGGTCAGAAATTCCTGACTGAGCTTTAAACAGCTGAGCCTGACTGACTTTCACTCACTCTCTCTGCTGAAAGGTGGGATCATGTTGCTGTTGGTGCAAAGTCTGAGGTGGGGTTAGATGTCACTGTGGGAACGAACACGAGTCTTCTCAGGTTTGATTTACTTGAGAAACACTTTCAGTTTTATAAATAACGAATGAGTTCAGAAAATAAAAGAACTTCATGAATCATTTCACATTTACCCCAAAGGAAAAGAAACACAGCTCACTCTCAGCAGAATATTTAATGAAGAACAGAAATACCGATTTGTGATACACAGATAAGACGTGATTTTATTTTTAACATGTAATTAACTTTAGTCTTTTCAGTGTGGCCGCTGTGCAGAGCTCAGTCTGTCAGAGTTACTTTAAACAAATTAATCAGTTTGACTCAGACATTTTGAACATCAGTTCTTTATGGGGACTTGACAATGAAATGGAATTTACACTAAATTCATAAACTTTTTGATTTTACACATTCAGTTTTATATTTTATCTTTGTTGTAAGATGTGTGAATGCTGCTTGTCATTTTTGTGTACACTGATTTGCAGATGTGACTTAGGTTTTCCCAGTGAGCCGTGATTCAAAGAGATAATTATTTTAATCTCCTGTCTTTATAACACCACAATGAATGGAAATTAAAAAAAAAAAACATCTAAAAGATTTTCTAAGCAGAGATTTTGGAATCACTGATATTTTATTTGTCAATTTTAATTTATCACCAGGATAAATATACGGTTTGCTGTGAATAGCCTGTATTAGGATAGAGAATCTAGGCCTTCTGTGGTCCAAAGTGGCCCAGGATTGCATCGTGTTCCATCTGGTTGTGATAGTTTACTGAATTACAACTAAAATCTTAAAATAAATGATTTTAAAAGTAAAAAGACCCAGATAATCATTTCCCTGTGAAGAGGCAATAGTGAACTGTTGCCTGCGCAACTAGCGCAGACACTGAGAGATGCCCGTACAGCGCTCTCTGTGGCGACTGGTGCAAATCAGTAAACGAGAAAGGAAAAAATTACAGATGTAAGTAAACATTAGCAAGACACATGAGGGAGGGAGGGTGAAAAGACACAGATTTCAGATTTATGAGGTGCAATACTATCTATGGCCACCTGCTAAATCTTGTGCAGAGCTCCACGTGTAGTGACGAGTAAGCACCGCCCTTTGGGTCCTGTTCTCTTTAAAAAGAGAAGTGAAAGTAAGTAGAATCTCTCTATAGAGGTGGAAGCTGCCAGTAAGTGTCCTCGGTGCAGAATTATGGTGTGAGTGGTTTCTGAAGACAGACTGGTTTGGGATTTGTAGAAAGCTTCATTTTCGGTCTTTAAGAAGCTCACAGCAGACCCAGACATCTCTTCTTGAATTACCTGAGTGCTTTACATATTCTACAGAAGGATTACCAGACTGTTGCACACGTGCTGCCGCATGCACAGTGTTTTCAGTGGTTTTCATTTGTCTTCTTTTCCGAAATAAATACTTTTATTTCACTGTTTTAGGAATTATACAGTGCTTTGTATGTTAAGGGCACATTACTAACCAACTGTTGGCGTGAATAGTGATGTTCGCTGTTTCTGTTATACTCCTAGAGTTGGATGTCTCGAGACCGGTCTTGGTCTCGTCTTGAGACCACTTTTACATGGTCTCGGTCTTGTCTTGGTCTCTCTGTCTCGGTCTTGCTCTCTCAGATCAACATAGTGTTCGGGAGATTTGGAGTCAACCATCGGCGGAGCGGGGGGGGGGGGCTTACTAAGCCCGGGTCATTTTTTCAGAAGCCCGGGGTCTTTTGGAGTGTAATTTCTTTCATAGTTAGATGTCTGACTGACAACTGTATAAAACAAAAAAGCACACACAATATTCGAAACACAGAGCGCACAGTCGTAAATTCCCCCTAATTTTGTATGATCCGAGCTCAGGCACTGGGCGACTGAGCACAGCACCCATGTGAGCGAGGGGGGAGAAGCTGCTGCCTGCGAGTTTTCTGCAGACAGAGGAGCTTAAGTTTGACCAGGTACCATAGCAAATCATTCGCACTGTACAAATAATGTGAATATGACGGTGTTTCACAAAAGATTGATATCAAACTGATCACTTGGTTACGTTACTTGCTCTTCGAGTGAATCAACAAATGGCGAAATGAAAAGCCGAACGACAATGTTGTTGTTTTTTAGAGCGTCTTAGCTTACATGTGTTTATTTCATATTTACAGTTGTTTCCCTCCACGGCTAAACAAACTCTCTAAATCGGTTTCAGTTAAGTACTGATGAACACAACAATGGACACAAGAGGCTTCTTTCAAAGAAAAAACTCAGGTAGATGTTATTTTATATATTATGCTTTGTATGTTGTTCAGTATATTTCTATGCAAAACAAGAGGAACTTCAATACACAGCAGTATATTCACAGTTGAAACCAGATATTTACATACACTTTATGGAAAACACAAGAACATTTTTTTACTGTACAACATCAATTTAGAGTAAACTTGTTTTAGATAAATAAATATTGAAATATCTTTTGAATTGGTTAAATGTCAGAATAAAAAGAGGGAGCTGTCTATTTATTATCACTTTCATCAAA